TTACACATATTATTATGTGTTAAAATATTAATATTTGCGTTTGCAAAGGCAAATGATGGTACACTTTAGTTTTTTAAGCTTAACGATGAGTGAGATTCGTATGAGAAACAAATATGTTATAAAGTAAAATGGAACGAATAACTGGAAGAAAATCAAAATTATTGACCGTTCCGTTTCAACAATATAAACAGTTAAAACTGAAAAATGGGAAGAATTATGTAGTAGACATGAGTGTAGTGTAAGAGATGTGGCAAAGCGCCTCAAACTATAATCTCTCGAGTCTATTTTATATTATGCATTAATCATAAGGGTATTCTTTAGAACAATATTACATCAGGATATATCATTGTAACAATTGAGTGCTGGTTCCTGTCTGAAAGAAACTTTTAAAATGCGACCGTCACGCTCCGGGATATATTGCGACGATGGACAGTTCGATTTCGATCGCGTGTACTTTTCGGCTTGTTTATCTTTAACACCGCTAAATCTCTATTCGTATGAACCTCTCGCGTCCGACGGATCTGAATCAGGAGGAAGTGTTTCGCAGGCTTGATCAATGAGAGGAGAAAAAAAAACGATCGTCGCGTCGATAAATCCCGCTTTCGAAATGCGTGCGTACTCATAATGACTGCAGGAAGTGATATTAAAGAGATTAGACTTTGCGCGTGGCTTTCGCGATTTTAGACGAATTGCCGGCGGCTCTGGTCTTTTACGTTCTTCTTGCGACTGTTATTGCCGAGAACGCCTTTCCTATCAAATTTGATGAATGTGCCCGCGCGCGCGATCGGCTGCTTAAGGGGGGAAAAAAAAGGCGCAGATTTCTCTTCTTAATGAAGTTCCACGCGACCGCAAAATAAACATCGCTGAGAGACTTATGTAGACTTTTCTAATTTCGCACTTTCCCATTTCTATCAGTCGTTTCGACAAAATTCCGCTTCGCAAATCCCCCTTGTGAAACCTAACAACGACGATTCTTCTGTATCCCACCAACTATTGTCTTACGTTTGTGTCTACATTGTCACAAAAACTATCACCTGAAAAATTTCAATCGCCCGCCGTAATAAGTTTTATTATATTCTTCTGTGATTATTATTCATTTATTGTTACGTTATAAATGTACCTCAATCATTCTATTCTTTATTTGGACCTCGAAGTCGGCTTGAAACTTCAACTTGAGGCCCAGATGAGTAAAAAAGTTGTGTTTAACCTCATTTTTACCTTCAAAGAGAATGTAATAAAACATTTTATCCTCTTTGAAACCTCTTAGGCCGAAGTGCATCTACTAAACCTTTGTTGATTACACTCGCATTGGCCTCTGCTAAAAGGGAAATAGCGACTCTTTTCAGGCCTACCTGAGGTCAAAAATTCAATATATTTTTGCCGACACAAAGACCTTGGTTCGACCTCAGTGTCGCTAATTAAAAAATTATACGAGGCTAAACTGAGGCCTAATAAATATTCGACTCGGATATTTTGTCAAAGTATGAGAGCTTTTTATTAATATGTAGTATATTATTACAGGGAACAGAAAGGCCGGCCGTCTGATATGAAATTACGCACGTATGATATAAGATATAATCGTTCCAAGAATCCATCTTTCGGGATTCAGCGCCTCCGCGTTATTTCTATATAAATCGTGAACAGCCTTTCGTGATAGGTTTTGAATCGTAAATCATAGCTCGAGTATTTTAAGGCACTAATCGTATCATCACTCGCCTTATTATCGATTACGCAAGCCTGCGAGTCTTTATATAAATAAACAAAAGAGTGGCCTCGCGAACGTGGGCTAAAAGTCGCCGGCAAAAAAATCGACGATTACGCCATTTCCCGAAACCGCGAGTGCTTGAACATGTCTCCGCGTCCACGACCACTCACGTCGTCCATTAAGAAAAACCGTTTAAAGTGTCCCATTAATATGCGCCTCGTATTCCACGCGCAATCCACCCGTCTCGCCCACCTCCGGTTATTTATCGAATAACTAATTGTGTAAATTTGATCATATCATAGACGGCAGTGAGCGTGTCATTAGCGCCTCATGTACCACGCGTTACGCGTTCGTTCCTTACTACGCACGCGCGTACGAAGATGCACAAGGAGAGAAAGAGAGAGACATGTAGCGTGACAAATCAATTTCGCTAATATATCCGCTTCTAAACATACGTCCTAAGTTTGTATGAACGTCTGCGCGAGCGTCAGTAGTTAAAACACGCGCTATTAATCCACTCTTATCGCGTTCTGTCGGTGAAATCGTATCCAACGGTAATTCGAAATTTACGACTGCAATGCCGACCTCGCAAATATTTGGTTTACAGATCGCGGAATAAGATTGTCGTCAATTAATCTCAATTTCCCTCAAGATATGCGGGTACATTTTTCTCACGCGGCCGCGAACGACACGCTTGCGGCGTATATGTATATATATATTTTTTTTTTATCGTAGCGCGTGTCACGGTGTTTCGCGACGCATTTTACTGCGCGTCCTTCGACGCGCGCGAGGCTATCTTTTTTCTTTTCTTTTTTTTTCGTATCTCATTTTCATACAAAATGTAACGCGTCCCCGGGACGGGGGCGATCCCGGGCCATTCTTTCTACCCGGGAATTAAGATTTGCTCGCGCGTCGTCAGGTAAATAATTCTTCTCCCCGCGAGATGCACGCGGACGGTACGTGTGCGTGAGTCGCGGCGTTCTATTTATACGCAATCCGCGTGCACGCCGGCAATAAAATCGTGGCGCAAATTCGGATGAGATAAGGTCATCAGCGTGAGAGCGTGGGAGTACTTTCACCGCGGTGTATAAACGTTATATAGCGAAAAACGCGAAACATAATGCCGAAGGCCTGGGCCCCGCTAAGAGAGGCGCCCGTTAAAATTCCACAGCCGTTGACAAATCGCGCGTCCCCTCCGCGGTACCCGGGATAACGACAAAGCGCCGCGGTACACCCGGTCTATCGGCGTTAATCACGATCGAACAGCTGGACCGGTACGCGGTATTATCCGCATGTATATTTCTGCTAGAGTCGGTCGTCCGATTTTTCCCGCGGGATCTCGTTTCCACGCATATTCGCCCGTTAAAATCCCTCTGTCTCCACCTGGACTTTACAGCCCGCGACTATTTGTTATGCAATATTTATGGTTGATATAAAATTCGCCATAAAATTGTTATGCTCCGACGCGCGGGGCCCGCAATTGAATTCCTGATGCTGAAAAATTAGGAATATTATCGAAAAGTATCAATATTCCACGGCGCACCCGCGATCTATAAATACCTTGTCTCTCGAAGTGAGGCAGAGGAAAAAAGTGAGACGTGAATTTAAATGTGACTTTTATACGCGGCACGAAAATTTAACGATCCTCGTTTAATAATGTAACACGATCTCGCCAATTAGTATTAACAAGACTTTATGCGTGACGACAATTTGCAAAACTATTGCGTGGAAATGGCATATGAATCGATGTAAGAGGATTTGCCATCGACAATTAACAAACGTTTTAACGATTACGATTGGTAATAATTTCCACCGAAATACGTACTTTTGCGAACGCGTGCACCCAGAAAAAATATTTAGTTGGGTGAAACAAATGGGATACGTTGAAATCATATTTCTTTGAATCTACCAATCTTTTATTTACTTCCACTAAAACATTTGCCAGATTTGAAGAAACAGATATGAATTCTCCTAGAAATTCTAGTCTCGATCGGATAACATTTTGGTCAGGGTGAAAAAATCATTTCTTTGAAATTAAATAAAAATGAGGTCAAAATTCGAACAAATTTGTTTGCTTTTAAACGAACTTTTCTTCTGGGTGTACGCGACTATTGGGACTTGAAATGGTTCATCTCCATTCGGACGTTGCATTTCACGTAAATTCCTAGACAAAGACTCCCGGGTGACTTTTCTCGCTTGTCGCAAGCCGGGGGACAATTCTCGCTCCTCGAGGCGATCGAAGTCGAAATTGACGAACTCTCGTTCGACCAGAGAAAATGCGCGCGAGCGCTCTCGCGGCTTTTATGCTAATACCTATAAACTCCGACCCAATCGTCGCTGTTATTATCGAGACTACTATGGCCGATCGTAAATCTTCCGCGCGACGGCCGGACGTTTCAAAAAATGGCTCCTTCCGAGATTCGCGCGCGCCCGGGCTCGAGGGGAGGCGTGCGTGCATACTAATGCACACGCACACAGGCGCGCGACGCGCCGCTCGTATACACCATTGTTGGTACTCGTCGAGGAGAGCCGTCTCGCCATATGCGGCAAGGCCGCCCGTCCGTGTGGTACCGGACCTCATAACGGGCTCCGGCATACTCTCCCGCCGTAATCGCGGAAAAAATGCGGAAAATACGACCGAATTTCGTATCCCCCGGTCCCTCGCAAGCATTAAAAAATTCTACTTTGTAAAATTATTAATATATATTGCATTGTTACAATTAAATGGCACCTTACGCCAGTCAGGAAATCAAGAATTTTAATAAGCATGGTAACGACCTTACTGGCGATTGTTTATTATAATAAAACGCACCGTTTCGGCCAGTAATACTGGTCCTCTTCAGGTAACAAACTTACAAGAGTGCCTACAAATGTATCGGGTGTACAAATGAATAATCCAAACTTTTTTAAGCGACTAAGAAAATAAGTTTTAAATAATCTAATCTTTCCGCTCTTTCAAGGTAAAGTAGCGTTGACGTATTTAATAAGATTCGTCAGATTAGAGATGTGAAAATTAAGTTAGAAGTCAGAAATTTCGTTGTACAGTGTGCCTTGTCGTCAACGTTAGAAAACAGAATGATTGTATTGTTACGCTTAACCACTTCTCGAATTATATTTTATGCCGTTACTAATTGATGCGCTTGATGATTTCTCTTTCGAAAAGCACAAGTAAATGAAGACGGAAAAATATAATTTAGCAACGATACTTGATTTATCGATATTCTATAGTCCAGCCGATGTTTTCCGTCGATTACACAAAATCCGTGTAGAAGGAGAGAAAATGGAGGACGATCGGTTCTTGTTAAGGCCTTTTATTAATCTTTTTATATAGTTTTTGGTCAATTTACAACTGTTCGTAGATAAAATAATGTAACATAGGCAACGTTGCATATAATAATAATAGCAATTAATCTTCATTATCCTCTTGATGATAATAATCGTAATAATAATACTAATAATAATCGTCGTCATCATAGCGATAGCTGCAATAATAATATTAATATTGCGATAATCGTCGGTATTGCTTAACGCACGGCCATGAAATCGCTGGGGTTACAAAAAGCTTAAGACTAAGGATTAGCCGTCCGGCGCCTAAGATATTGCGCGCTGTAACGAGGAAACGAGTAATATTTCTCTTATCGCCAGACCATTCTGGCACGCTGTTACGATACGCTATGACTCTTAAGAAAAGTGAAACCGAGCGCAATTATCGCGAAAACGCAGGGACTGTCTCGAATGATCGCCCCGGATCGATCGGATCATCGATGCGCGAGCACTCGAGAGATCTCACCGCGACGCTGCGTTGCTCCATCGCGCGAGTCTTCAAGTACATCGGCGAACATCGTTTCTTTACCCGTTGTCCCGCGTGCATTCGTTCTATCTCGGAACTGTAAAAATACGCGGATGACAATCGGGCTGAAATTTAAAAGTCGATTGAATGGAAATTTGAAGATCGGCACCTTGCAGAAAGCACCGATTAAGACAAGTTAACTTTTTTTTTCTCAATAAAATCGACGGAAATGTCTCGTGTTTACGCGCGTGCGACATGAATCTCTCCAGTGCCCGGCCACCTCTGATTTTCACTGAGAACGGTGTTCGGTAATAGTCGGTATCTCGCATACTTAACCCTTCAATGGCGGACACTCAACCCTCCGTGAAAATGCGAAGAATCTTCCCGGGATATGTGTACGCCACATAACGTCGACACACTCGCATTATCGTTTAAGCGACTTTTGATTCTCCCTAAAGGATCGTCTACAATAGATGAAGTAAGCCTGGCGTAAGAGGTAAGAGGAGTGAAGAAATTAATCACTTCCATTTCTTACTCCCACTTCAGCTCCGACACTTACTCTCGGCGAATTAGAGCGCAGAGTCCGACCAGTGCTATAAATATTTTAAAAGACTACGCCTGTACTTGAGCTTTTGACACTGATAAGTAAAGGTTGCGGTTTTCTTACTGCTTACCTCCGATGTAGACGGTCCTTAACACAGCTTCCGAGGAATTTTTCCGCGCACTACGCTAGCGTTCTACGTATCTCGTGAGGTTTTCGAATACAAAAATACGTATCTTTTTTGTTTGCCGTTTTTCGCAAAACTAACGAGATGCAACAAATAACTCGTGTGTTAATCGCGACGATGATTATCGAAGGGTCAAGCCAACTTAACTCAGCAGAAATATACTTTACACTTAGAAAACGAAGATATGCTCCTAACAACGCGCTCATTATATGTACAGAAGATGGAACGCCCTGTCCGCGCGCAGCACCGAACTCCAGTCGCAGGCAAGGCCCGCCGTGTTTCTTCCCCGACCGTCCGTGCACATGTACGCGTGTACATTCACCGGACGTCGTCGCGAGGCCCCTTCGAAGCGAACTAACAATAAGTGGTACACACACAATGGCCGTCTACAGACTAGAGATCGATTTAATAATTACAAGCCGGGTTAAGAGATTTGTCACCGAAACTTGTTCGCAGAGATATTTACAGGCAATGTTAGTCCGCGTGTAGAAAACAACGACGGCATCGTTAATACGCGCGAGACGTACAAAGGAAATCGCTCGAATTCCGAATAAGGCAAAGACGCGGCTCGGGCCCGTCGCGGCTAATCCGCGCCGCATCGGGATATTCGCCTCGATTCTCGCGGTGTTTCCCACAGCGATCGCGACTGTGTGCAAGACGTACGTCTGTGGCAGACAATTAGAGAAGACCCTCCTAAAAGCTCCGGTGGCGGAGAAACAAACGGAGAAGAGTCGAGATCGCCGCCCGAATATCGGAAACGTTTCCTACTCGCAGCCGCCGCACGTGACCGTCTACCACGCGCTGTGATACTAAAAAATAGCCCTCTTCCACCTGCTACTCGTCGATAAAATAAACCCTTTTTTTTCCTCTCCACCTTAATCCGTTACTAAGACACTTGGTAAAAAACTTGGCGCTACGCTTGCGTTTGGTATAAAAAACAGTTAAACACTGGAATGGCATTCATCCGACGACACACGTCGCTATCTACATAATGCGGTCTGCTCCAGATTGAGCGGACGGGGAGGGGGAGGGGAGGGGGCGTTTGATTTTTTTATTCAGAGGACTTCTTATTCGATCTTCAATGTCTACATAATCAATTCCTTCTCTCGTCTAGCTCCCTCTCTTTTTCATTCTCTTCCACTCTTGCCCTTCAGCGAGATCGTTAACGTATAATAAATCATCTTTGATAAATATATCCGATAAACTATATAATTGTTTAAATAAAAATGATTAGAGGCGCCATTGATCGAGAAGGGTAAAAACAATCGAGCGATTGCCGCGCTCTTTCGACGATCGTCTAAATTTTCCGACCACGTGATTTCCGAGATCGGCATCGTCAATCGATCCCGTCGATCCTTAAAGTATCACACTTTGATTCGTTACGTAAGGGACAGTAGAACTGAAAAAATCATCGGGATTTTCGATGTATATTCGCAACGAGAATTGTTTAACAATGCAATAATTTCTGTTTTCAAAAAATTGTACGTGATAAGCCCAAGGATTATTGCTTTAAGGCCAATAAGCATACGGGATGTAATTAAATGACTGGAAGTGAATCGTTGGGAAGTCATTAACGCAAGACTCGACATAGCTAATTGCCCACTTTTGATTCCGTATCGATCAACTCTCGAAAACTCGTTTGCGAGACGAATTTCCGGCTCGCTCCACCCTCTTCTTGTCCCTGTCTCTATCTCTTTTTCACTTCATTGTCTACCGTAAACATCGTTTCATTCTTCAGCACCATCTAAGCACCACCCTGATACGTGACTACTAAGAACTAGTAACTGATTGACCCCGTACCGTTAAGGCCCGTTAAGTTTCTCTCCGGTCGGACGTCTTCGATCTGCGATGATAGTCGTCGAAGGTATAGGCGAAGAGCAAAAATAGAAAGCAACATTCTAAGCATCGAACTATTTGCCATGACGATAACTCGACCGTAAAACATAAACATTTAAATGACGGGCGATGTTATTAAAACTTTTCGAGGCTTAAACTTCGGAGTCTCGGAACTTGTGAAAGTTCAAATTTCTAATTTTTGGACTCTCGAAACATTTGATTTTAGTAAACTTAAATTTCCATTTCAACTTATTGAGTCAATCCACATGCAATTGTACTCGGTAAATTTACAAAAATAGTTCATTTGTAATCTTGTAAATGGTTCGATTTTTTGTAACGTGTAAAAAAAAGCATTTTATCTTTTCTGGAAGATAATAGTACATTTTAAAGCGTTTTCTTCCGATATTAAAAACGAAAAGCTAAGTGTTACTTGAAGTCATTTAAAATTCATTTTGATATTTTATCTGTAATACTGACCGGAGACACTTCAGAATACACTGTAAAAATAAAAATTTAATTCCAAAAAATGATCGGCATGCAATAAAATTCAGTCTTCGTCATACATTCTCGTCTTTTTGTTAGCTCTTTGTCTCTGCAAGTCTTTAAATTCCTAAAATACTTTTTCTCATTAAACTGTCCAGCTATAAAATATATTCATATCTTTATTGTGATCAAGACGTCCGACCTCAACTATGAAACCAAATCAAGAATCAAGCCCGGCGAGAAAGCGCAATTATTTACGCGCGCGCGCCTGATTGCTCTTATTGACGTCAGCGTCTACCTGATCAGTCTAACTTAGCCTAACGCGCAAAGGCTACCTGGTGTATCCCGTGGAAAGGAAAGAACCACCCTCAAACGCTGTCCGAAGCCACGGACATCGGTCTCTTGTAGGAGAGAGCACGAGGTACCGGTATCCTTGAGCATCCTTCCTGGGGTTTCGGGTCCTTTCTAGGACTGACCGACACCTGAACGTCCTGGGGCACTGTCATCGCACCGTTACTATCCACCCACACTTTAGCAAATTCCATGTCCGCGACACCGTCGGTCGAGCTGGTCTGGTAGTCCCTGAGGAGGCCCTGCAACTTCTGCACCATCTGACGCTCGTCCTTCAAGTCGCCCAGTTTCTGCAAGATCTGATCGAGTAACGGATTTGTCACTTTGGTGGGCGACGACTGGAGGGACGTGGTGCCCGTGGCGGAGGTCCTGATCCTCCTGCCATTTTTGTCGTATTGGACACCAAAGTTCGGGTTTGGCCGGGATTGCAGGCTCTGTCTACCCGGACTTTTTCGCGAGAAACTCGGCGTCGTAGCGCACGTGGCCGGCATAGATCTCGGATCCAGGAAGGTGTCCGTCTGAATGCTAGCTCGCCGCCTGGTCTGTCGTCCGTTCCATGTGGCGCTACTACCCACTGGCGCTTTGGAGGACTTGGGCGCGGTCATCGGCGACGATACCTTGCTGAGACTCCCAGTCGGCGTTAACTTTCGCAGCGTCCCGTAGCTTCCGTTGGTCTTGTTACGAATCGAACCTCCTCGGTTCAGTGGACTACCTTCCGGGCTAGAATTGCTGTCCTTGGGCGTCTTGCTGCCTGACGATGCCTTAGATAAGTTACTGTTCTCGCGCGCGATAGAACCGGCGCGAGGAGTCCTGTCGCCTGTCGACGAGGACGTCGCGCTCCTGGACGGGGACGAGACTCGTAAGGGGCTTACTAGCCTATCTTTCCGGACTACCTTGCGCAATCCGGTCTCGATGCTGTCGGTCTCCACGCCCGATCTTTCCTCGGGTTCCGCCTTTGGAGGTTGCTCTGAAACAGAAAACGAGAAGGCGCGTGTTTACGCTGGAAACACTTATCATTTAATTGTGATGATTAATTAGTCATTTCGCTATTTCAACATTGATCGTTAGCGTTTTAAACAATCTTCAAAGAGACCAAGAATAATATCAAAACGTCCATGGGAGATATAAAAATTACATACTAAATAATCTTCTCTCCAGTATTAAAAAAATTAAAAAATTAATATACATGTTAAGTATAGTTTTAGCAAGTACTGATATAAATGTAGATAAAAAACGGAATCTTCTTATTCTTCTCTGAGAGTTTTACTTTAATATTTTCACTTTCACATTACGCAAATCTTCGTAACATTGCTGTCACTGTCGTAAATTTATCATTGTTATAATTCTTATAATTAAATAGCAGCTTAGTGACGCCAGTCAAGAATTTTAATAAGTGTGGAAACGACCTTACTGGCAATTCTTTATTAAAATAGAACACAACGTTTCGGCCAGTAAGACTGGTCCTCTTCAGGCAACAAACGTTGTGTTTTATTTTAATAAAGAATTGCCAGTAAGGTCGTTTCCATACTTATTAAAATAATTCTTATATGTTGTAATTATAACGTCTTAAAATTAATAAGCTAAATATGAAGCTCATTAATTAATCGCAATATCTTTATAAAAAATATCTCTGTTTCTATCACTAAAAAAAGCCACGAATTACCCCGTAAAATATTACGCAATTTCGTAATGAGCGTTTCAATTTCGTCGTTTTCGTTTAACAATCTATTAACGCGTTATTATAGCGACATTTTCTATTAAGCACAACAATCGATATCCGGCACCGAGTCGACTGTTTTTTTATTATCGTGAGGTGTCAACTTTCACAAACATGTATGATTTAGAAGCCGAAAAATATCCACGACCAAATGAATCAATCTCTCAGTTTAGCACATTCATCAGAGACAAGGTAAAGGAACGGGCCCTGACATATTTGAAAGTGTTGGTCCTCTCCATTTGCATCGACAAGAACGACGCACCTGCGACGCAAATACATAAGTATAAAATCCAAGGCAAATGAAATCCTTCATCGGGACTTCCAGGAATGGTTACCATAAATTTTCTACTGCTTTATGTAACACGCGCTTGAATTTTTCTATACGATATTTATGTAACTCGTTACGTAAAATTTTATATAGATGTCACCGTTACATTCCGCTGACTTCACACAATTTATGTTACATTATATAACAATTATTGGTCATTATTACCATTGTTAACATTGAGCTCATCAATCATCAACTGCATGGGCGTTGATTACGTGTGAGATTTCTATTATCAAATTCCAAAAATTTTTCCATAAATTTCATAAAGGTTCAATCACGAGTTCTTTCCTCCAGCGCAAACTCGTGAAAAAAGTGAAAAATTTAATAAAATGTTTCTCTAGTGTGAAGTAAAAAGTGAAAAATTTTATTGACGAATATTAAATTTTTCACTTTTCACAAGCTCGCGCTAGAGAAAAGGATTCACGATCGTGCTCCTGACAAAGAAACAATGATACAAACAAAGTTAAACTGCAAATTGTTCAACAAAGTTTATACAGTTTATATAATCATAAAAAATGCATATTCCCGGCATAAAATATTGAACTTGGAACTTATATCCTGGTATGTTCCTTAGAGTTTGAATTGACTGTCGTGTATTTCTCTTATGAAGTGATGTCACCACATCGCATTTCGTACGACATTTCATTTTCACACATTTTGTACACACCCACGTCTAAACCACAGAGAAAGTCCATTCTTCGTCGAAGAGGAGAAATTAGATTTTTTTAATTAATGTATCGATGCCACGCGAGAATGGCAGAGCGGCGTCGATTCGTTCCGTCCGAACAAACGTATAAATGGGAAAACGATAATCATAAAACCCCCTTCGCTGACTCTGAAAGAAAGGAGCGACACCCCGAAATACGGTTCGCCGATCACGTTGAATTTAATTGTCGTTAGTTTAGAAGAGTCGAACCGATTCTCGATAACGCACTGCGTTTTTTTTAATCCGGTCGGCAAACCGTCGCGAGCGCAAAAACGTTTCGCATAAATATTAACGCGTCCGGTTGGAGATTGTTGAGCTACAGTGGGTACGCGTTTCGCGCGAGCGTAATTAAAATCCGAGAATCGAAAATCTATTTCGAGATCTCGTCCTAGTAACACGCTGCTGGTCAAACCGGATTCAACCTTCATCGATCTAACGAGTCCTTGGAACTTGTTATTAAAATTACGCAAATGAATTACGAGGTGAATTTGTCGAGGAAACCTGCGTTGACGTTCTTGCTAAACGTAGTTAATACTAGGTTCGGTATCATGGTATCCGTATTTGATATCGTATAAGACGTTTATAGTATGTAAGAAAAGTAAGTGCGTAATATACGAGATTTATGGTTTATAACGAGAAAATTATAGATTTCCTTAATATAGCCGCTGAATCTTTTATCTACATCACTGGATCTACAATTTTATTTTCACAAAAGAGATTCAATTCTAACAGCGAACTGATCTTCCATCTGCGAAAAACTCCACTAACAGGATAGAAAGCATCGGTTCGACATCTAAAATATTAATGCAATATACGAACCCCCATGGGAAAATATATATTTTTAAATGTAGGTAAAATATATGTAATACATTTCATATATTTGTTATATAGAAATTCTACTTAAAAAATCATATAATATTATATATGTGTCAAAATTATAATGAAAATATATGTAACATATATAAATTACGTATTTATAATATAAATGTAACACATTTGCTTATATATTTATATTATATTATGAATGATATATGAAAAATGCCAATTTCTATATATCTAGTAGTATATTTTTTTTATATCGCGTATACGAGTTATATAAAACGAATGTACTATTTCTATTTTTCTTTATGTATAATGAAATATATATTTTTCCATGAGGGAACAAGTGATTTTACTGGCAAAACAAAACGTAACGAGAGAAATTAGCCGCTCTGTACTTTTATCTCGTCTAGGAAGAACTACCGCAAAGTAACTACCGTGTTACATCGAGTATTGTCAGATGTCGACGACGCGCTCGGGAATGTTGGAGCGAATTCAGTGAAATCGTAAAATTCTTTTTCGCTGCCTTAAAAAATTGCACATTGTTACCAGATCGCATTCTAGACAGTACTTTATGTGCAACGTGACAAATGAGTATTTTTTTTAATTAACCCAGGTAGAAATTTTGTCTGGAAACAATCAGAGCCCCATATATTTTTTGTAAAATATTTCTGGGATCCAGGTGGAAAATCTAGCTAGAGTCTATGTAAAGTTTGGGACGCCTAAATCGAACAGGCCCTATCGCTGAATCCAGATCGGTCCAAGATTACGCTCGGAATTTGTTTAGAAAAATTATCTGGAATCTAGCTGGGGTCTATAATTTTCCTAGATATTTACTTTGTTTGTACACTGAGAAAAATTTTCATCGGATAAACCAATTAAATAGTATGTCCGATGGTTAATTTTTCCGATTACGTTTTCCGATTAAATTATGGATATATCCGATGAAATTTCTCCGATAAAATGCAATTACCGATGAAATTTCATTGAAAAACCGATCAAATTTTTCATCGGATATACAATTTAATCGGATATATCCGTTTGTTATCATGTAATTGGATTATCCGATTATATTTAATCGGACATTTTTCTCAGTGTAGATACCATAATTATTTTTATGATCCAGTCTGGTCCAGGCTTCAATCTAAAATTTTTCCCTAAAATATTCCCTGGAATTCCACCCGAGCAGAAATTTTAGTAGGTTCTGATAGGGTCCTAATAAAGATGCCTTAATGCCTGGTCAGGCACTCATCAAGCAGCCCTGACAGGGCCCTGACTGTAAATGTAACGTCGAGGTTTATCCATGATCCAGACAACTCGCTCTCGCATCATATCGGCTCGCCTTTTATACTAATACGGGGCGATTTTTACTTACGAAGAAGACTAACGCGCGGTCGCCACGTCACGACAGTATGTGGTAATCTAGGACCCATGTAGATTTTTCCGACTATTTTTCTCTCGGTAAAATCAAGGTAAATTTCTAGGGTGTATTCTGGACCTAAACGGATATTTTTAATTGGACTTTTCCATCCAGGCCCTGTACTTAATCTCGGCAAATTGAGGCAGATTTCTACCTGGGAACTTACAAGAAAATTTCTTGCAACTTTCAATCCTGTTTTAGTTTGTATTATTCCGATCCGTTAATAAGATACAATACTGAAAGTGCATAGCACACACTGAAAAAAATTTATGGTTGAATATGGACGAATCAGATAATTCCTTTAGGATTTACCAGAATTCCTTTAGGATTTACCAGAATTTCTGTAGGATTACAGGAATTCTGGTAAATCCTAAAGGAATTATCTGATTCGTCCATATTCAACCAGAAATTTTTTTCAGTGCATGATTACTGAAATGACTGCAGGATAATTGTAAGTTTTTCGAGACAATCCATCTCCAACGATCAATTTAATCCTTCAAACATGCGAAAAAGCTTTCGTAGCTACAGTCTTAATATACTTTCACGGTTGTCTCGCCTGCTTGTTTTAATCGTCGCGCGATTTTGTTTTTACTCTCGATGCCAAGGAGAAGTTTCCTCGCCCGAGTGAACGCGGATCTCCTTCGAAGCCGAAGCGAAACGCTCGGTATCGCGAACGTGCTGACGCGCATCAGAGAGCACATTGCGTGCATATCTCGTTGCCGTTAAAACAAATCAAGTACCTCGATGCACGTTTTCGAAATGTACGCGTGCTCTAGCGCGGTCGCATAAATTAGAGATATCGATGTAAATGAACGAGTCATCGGAGCTCGCCTCCGGCGATTTCGCGTAAATCTCAATAAAACCCCGCAGGGATGACTGATCCGCACGGTCATTTGGGCTTAGCGAACCCACGGACCCGAGCTCGGTACACTGAGCTGCGAGCATTCATAATACATACATTTACAGATCGCATTATACATGTTTCGCGTCTTCTCTGATAAACCTTTGAGAAAAAGTGGAATTACAATCTAATCCAAAAATAATAAGGAAAACAAGAATAACGAGACAGAGGTTTGATATGGATGAAGCAGGGCAGTGAAAGCAAAAGCTCATATTTATGCATATTTCTTAATTTGAAAAATATCACAACGAGACATTTGCTGCATGAAACGCCTGCGGAGCGTCCTTTCATTTCTCGCGAAATATAATGCAAAAGTTCATCTCGATCTCGCGTATCGAGAATGAAGGATAGAACGACGTATGACCGTGAGTTAATTTAACAGGGAAATACATTATTATATTCTGCAAAAGTCTGTAGACAAAAGAATAACTACGTTGAAGATAACGCATAAAAAGATTTAAATAAGTAAAGAAAATTTGATGAGTTAAATATGAAACCTACAAACGAGAGAAAAAATATATAAATGTTGGTAAGAATTTAAAGTTGCATGATGATTCTTGTACTCGGATGAGGTATGTTTTTTCTGAAATTATTCTAGTAAATTCTATTTACGTGAAATAAAATATCGAGGTACCAGTATTCGATAAAAAAAAAGACAGTCGAGTTCGGAAATAATCAGAATTTTTGATAAGATACTAAGAAACAGAATAACAATATAGATGTACTTTACAAAAATTTTCAAGAAATTTAGAGACGCAATTTAGCCAAGTTATAAACAGGCACATAATTCCAAGTTAAGCGGGAACAAACATCCTACCGTTCGTTACTTTTCGAGTCGAACTTTGGTGACTTTCTATTCTCAAAAAGTTGTTGTTTCCGCGTCGCTTTCTGTGACTGGTGTCCAGGTCAGCGGGTTAAGTTAAAGCCGTTCCAGTCCGTTCAACTCGCTACGAGGAAAAGCACCGCGGGACGGGATGATCGAAGCGGGTCGCGTCGTGCCGCGGCTGGCCGCCGCGCCGCCAACTTTTTCCACTTGCGGCAATGCGTCAACCGCGTCAAGTGAGTCGAGTGCCTCGAGTACACGCGAGAACGCCTCGCGTGTGTTCAAGGCGAGAGCGTACGGACGAGAGCGTTATCGAGGATCGACCGGCGGCGATTGTTCCGAGGACAGGTTGTTGGAGATCGCCCACGTTTCGAGGCGATCCCTCGCATAATCGGCGGTCGTAGCACCGGCTAAATGTCAGCCCGGCCCAGGCGGAGCGCGGTTTTATAAACGCGTTCCGCGTGCCCGTGTGCTGTTTGAATATTAATCGTCCGCAGGGTGGTCCAAATGTCGGGCGAGGCACCCGCTTCAACGACTTCCAGAGGGTCCGAGGTTTAATTCGCGGTGTCCTCGGGTGTTCGAGCTCACGCGAGACTACGCGATCGCGCGCTACCATCGAATCTCGAGGTCCCTGTCGCGACTGACGAAACGGTTTCTCAATAAATCGCCACTGAAAAAAAATGTTCGCTACCGTACACAGAAAAAAAATGCTGTTGAATTAAGAAACAGTTAAGTCGCTTGAAAACGTTGATGTCACAAACGTAAATTCACTCAATTGTATTTGCTATGGATTTTAATTTTAAGCATTGAACTAAATATCCAGATTATTAAGACAACTTATCTGAGGTGTTTCATTCATTAACTGATGTTGTTTCAAGCATTTTATTTCAATTACACTGATATTCCAAATTTCATTCGACCACAGGCTGGCCTCATTTGTTAATTAATCGGTCAATGCAGAAAATTTATTGCAAAAAATATTACCTCAGCCAGGGTTTGAACCTGGACCTCCCTTACTCTCTAGGCGGGCGTCTCACCAACTCGACCGCTGAGGCACGTGGTAATATATTTGTCGCAATAACAGTATATAAAGATGACAGCCTCGCGTCTGTTTTTCGACTCTTTTTCGCAATACATGTTTTGCACTGACCGATCAATTAACAAATGTGGCCAGCTGTGGTCGAATGAAATTTGGAACTTTATTATTACACTGGCAATTTGAAGAAACTAATCTTACACTGATATTGTTGATACATGTGATTTTTTCCGTGTAGCTAGTCATGGTTTGTTAAAAATATTTTGCTACATTAACTATAAATTTCTAAACCGCAGCAAACGGTTTGCTGTCGCACCTGATACAATAGGTACAGTAGCGAAGTATTTAGCTGTCACAACTAAATATTAGCTGTCCATATTTTACAACTGAGATTAAGTTACCACGTGTAGTTTCGAGCTGCGGCAGCTTTATTTCTTTTCCGTGCGGTAAAGGCCCGCCCGGTCCCACGTCGACGGCGCGTAATTAATACGAGACGTTGAAATAGTAAAACGTACGCGCGGCGCGTACGTACGTCTACGTGTGCGTAGATTCATATATAAATCCTCAATAATTTGTGCACATTGTATGTAAATCGCGTGGGATTTACGCGACAGTTCGACCGGGCTAGAGATGCAAACTAGACTTTCATCGCGCGGGATCATAAACTCTTACCGGCTCGCTTAAACGCGCGTATGAATCAACCGGGGCTCTCGGATCTTTCAACAATTTCTGCCGCTCATTATCGAATTATTCCGCAGTTCTAACAAAAGGCGTTAACAAATTGTTTCGAACCATGAGAAAACGTACCGTCGGTAAAGCCATTGGGATTATATGTAAATCGGGCTGCCATTATTTCTGACGAAATATCCCCGGAGTGTCTTTTTCCGCAAATCGACACGTCATTATATTTATATAAATGGCATTAGCGAAAGGTTATGAGAAAGATAAGTTCATTGAAGATGCAAGGAGTTCGTATAAACAAATCTCTCCTCCGCGACTCCGTGGCATTGGCCTATTGGAAACAACCTGGCCTGATTTACGAAGAAAAGGATCGATCGATCGATCTCCAAGATTTTATTTTCAATATGTATCACGATCGTTCGTCCTTTTTTTTTCTCCATACGAGGCAACTTTCTCCGCGCGTTTTATCCTTTTCTCTCTTCTCGACAAAGAAAATTTATCGCCTCTATCTACCGTCGCGTAAAGCGCCGCCTCTACAGACGAATTAATTCGTCGTTGTCGATATACCCGCGAGATCGACAGGCGGAGATAAACGCCGCGCGCGCGCGGCGACGTATTAAATTCCGCTCGTGAGCGCGCTCGCGCGATCTCGTTCTCTCTATTTTTGCGCACAAAGCACCTCCCCGCTCCCCCGCGCCGCCTAATCGAATTTAATCTCTCGATTCGCATCGGTCGAGTTTTTTTTTCGTCCCTCACCCCGACACGCGACATTGCCTCCATCGTTCGCCGCACAATGCGCGTTTGTTCGTCAAGCGCGGCATGCGTCTACATCTGTGTCTCTCTCTCATTCCCTCCTCCTTCTTGTCCCTTTACACCCTTATTAATTTCGATGACTCGCTCGCCGATGATGGCGAGTGCACGTCCACGAACGCGCGTCGGCCACTCGAGCCTGATTCACCGTATTCACTCGACAGCGAAAACGAACGTCGCGAGACCTTATCAATCTCCCCCGAACAGAAACGATCAATTTTATCAGTCGGATAAGAGACGGTGCGCGCCCGCGTATCGCTCGCGTATACGTAAAAGGACGAATGTTTTACTTTCGCTGTTGCGAAACGCGGGGCGGCGCGGCGTCCGATTGAATCCCGCGCGGGACGCGCGATATCGAGAATGTACAAATACAAGTATCCACTCACTTTGACAATCGGCGACCGTGGGCGAGCCCTGCGTGCTGGCGGAATTCCCGTTGGCGGTGGACGACTGAACGGCACCGAGGCTGCGGTAACCCTCGTCGGACACCTCGCTGCAATTGTCCGAGTGCTCACCGTCCCCGTGCGGCGACTTCTGGGTGTTCGCCGCGGTGTCCTTGCCGAACGTCTCGAGGGCCGGCTGCTCCTCCTTGCTCGGCGTCGGGCTGCGGCTGCCGCTCGAGTCCTCGCTGCACTTGTAGTTGTAGATGGACGGCTCGTACTTCGGCGTGTCGTCCCTTTCGACGGCACGGCGCGCCACGCCGCCCTCCACGACGTATCGCTTCGTAAACTCGCCCGGCACCTTCAGACCGCACTCCTAAACAGACCATTCCAATTCTTTCCTCTCAATGCGCTTTCTTTTAACAAATTAATAAAATTCGTATGGCTCAAACGTGATAAGCACAAATTTGAAGGAATGAAGGACTAAGAGCCGTGACAGGGTGTTAGTGTCTAAATATTTCATGCTAAATTTATTGCGACAAAATGTCACCTCAGCCAGGGGTTTGAACCTGGACCTCCCTAGGCGGACGTCTCGCAATAAATTTAGAATGAAATATTTAGACACTAACACCCTGTCACGGCTCTTAGTCCTTTATTCCTTCAATTTTTCTCAATTACGGGGCGCGCGAGAAAATTATTATGAAGTTGCGTGAAATTTTATCGAAACTGAAGCCTATCACACGTGTTCATAAAACCATACTCGGGTATTTCATCTAAGAATATGTTTCCCTCGTAGAATAAGGAAAAACTTACTCGGCCGTTTTCCTGCGGTTTGCCGTGATACGTTGGCGACCGCGCCTCCTCGTTGGCATTTCTCCTGGACGAATCTGCGTTCTTCCGCGGTGTCGGGCTTCTCGATCTCAGATTCGCCCTGGGCGTCGGCGACCTTGATCTCTGCTTGGCCAAGTCGGCCTGGTGATTCGGGCTCGGCAGCAATTTCCTATGCGGCGTGGGACTTCGCGAGCGCTTCTTCGGCTCGTCGCACGATTGCTGCTGATGCTGCTGCTGCTTGCTGCCGGCTGTCGGCCGGTGAGGTGTGGGCGATCGCGAGCGATTGCTGGAAATGCTTCTGGGTGGTGCGTGCAGCTGGGCCGATTGCAGATTCTGCACCGAGCCGACGCTCGACGCGGAACTCCGTCGGGTTCTCGGAGGTGATGATCTGGTGGCGGAAACAATGACCGGGCGTTACGGCGGGAATTGATGTCGGCCGTTACCGGGTCGTGCTGGGCCTGGGCTGTGCGCCGGGGAATTTTCAGTTTCCGCGATCGCGACGAAATGTCACGGCGTGCGCAGTAACGTCGCCCGTGAGTTCGCGAACTTAAGATAAGATCAGGGGGATTTATAGGAAAAATCGACGACGTTGGAGTAAATTTAACCTCGCCCTTATTTCTCGTAAACGTTCGACGAGGTATAACGCAGCGCAGTATAACATAGCCCGCTTTCACAAAAGGCTATTTCTCTTCCATGTAAATCTAATGGCCTTATGGACGGTACTGTAAGCTGCATAATGTATGCACAACGCGTGTTTATGCATCCATGTATTTTACTACCCTATACAGAGTGACTTGCGATAGAATGTCCATAGCTCAGGCGGCCGTAGCTAACGCAACATCGGATTTACAAACTGGATGGTATTTACACTCAAAATGGAGAGATAGGCGTATCGATAGGCGATCATCGTGATCGCATATGATTAGCCATCGAATGCCAGATAAAATTTCCGAAATGATAAGAATTCCGTTATTCACTCTCTAAAAGCCAATCAGTGAATTGTCACTGAAAACAGTGAATGGTCACTAATTCACGATTATAAATATACGACTGAGAATCGCAATGATATACTTGTAACTGTGAATCATAAGTACTCAGTTTTCAATGGTAATCTACTGATTGACTTTTAGAGAGTAATCATTTAAAAATAATCCCCAAAAGCAATTCGTGCCAGATAAGTAGAGGTGTGACATTTTGATGTTATCTTTATACACAAAATATCGCTAAATGCCCCAGGAACGTTGTTAATGTTATTTCTTTACATTTTGGAGTCCCCAACTTCGTTTTAACACATTTTAAAACGCAAAATGGCGGAAAATGGCGTCCAAATAACGTCAAAAATTGCAATTATCAAAGTAACACAAAATCCGGAAAAACAGAACGCAAAAGATGCCAAAAATAACATCAAAATAACGCAAAATCTGGAAAAACAAAACGCAAAAAAATGCCAAAAAATAACATCAAAATGTCACACCTCTACAGATAGCATGTGACCAAAAATGAATTGTCAACGTCGTGATAATAAATAAACGCGTGCGACTAAAAGTGTTATGAAAAAAAGAGCAGATGCTCACCGTTCGTAATGCACCTGCGCGTTGCCCAGATCGAAGGATCCACCGGCTTTTTGAATGAGCTTCGCCGAGACCATCGAGCGGTGTGCTGGGAATAAAAGTAACAAAAGACATTGGTCGTCGGGTTCATTTAGGATGCGACTCGTTCAGCGGGAAGGGCTTGATAAAGCGGGCGCAACACTCACAGTTTCTGCATCGACATGGATCGTGCTTCTCCAAATAGTGGCTGAGGGTATCCCATCCGCCGCCGACGCGCACCATCACGTGGCTACGCAAAACTCGAACGTAGATCGTGACCTTGGTGTCGCCGATCCGATACTTGCCCTCAGCCACGTGGATCATCGGAAATTGCGTCGGGCATGTGCACTCCTCCACGATATCGCGAACCTAAAAGCAAAAAATAATCGCGACTTTGTAAAAGTACATACATAACACAACATATTTGTTACATGTAAATTTCATCATTTTTCGTTGAAATGTTCGTTGAAATATTAGAAGGTCCAGTTTGAATTTTCGTTGTTTTCTAACAGAGAAAGAGTAGAGAATATTTTTTTACTTTTGATATCGATATATAATACTCTTCTTATAACATATTTAGCGTTTTTCTAAATTTGCAACGGTTAAATGTAAAATACCAAGAAATTTTCACACCCAATGTAAATTTAATTCAGCATATACTTTTGATTTCGACATGAACTCTACAGTTCAAAGAAATAGAAACGGATGACGTATCTCTGGATTCGATCATAAAGTACAAATACAGCTAAGATATATCGGCTGATTTTGTTTCGAAGCGTCGAGCTCCGCCGAAACAAACCTCAATCTTGTCCATTGCATTGTTTTGTGGAGAAAAATAACGCCGAACCGAAAGGAGAGAACTCCTCCGATAATTAGTAGGAACGAAACGGAATTCTTGGAAGTCGTGCCAAGATGGGTTCCAGTGGACGTCCATCGTTTCGTTAACAAGGCCGCGGAGAGCAGGTAAAACCGCTCGACTTCGTCTTTCGAGTCGCTTTTAGCGGCGGTCGCTCGCTGAGTCACGTTGAACAAAAACGCGGAGTCGCTCGTGTAAGATCAATTACCAGCCCGGGAAACCTTGCTTTTCCTCACGAGAAAGTCGTTCCTGCTCGCGGCGTAATGAAGGAAAGGTCGCGTCGCGTCACAATTTTGTTGGCCGATTCGCACGTTGCGAACATAACGATCGCCGCTTTATCCACGTAACACGAATCTCTAAGGTTATAACTTCTGTGGTTTTTCTATATTAGTTTTTTTTTTCAGTTAAATATGTATATTTCTATGAAAATTAGCGAAATGAAATGACCTTCGGTATCTCCATCCATTCGTAGTTTTACACGAAGAAACGTTCAATTTGTAACTCTCGCAGGTGCTTTATTTCTTCATTTCTTCATACGCTTGACACTCGACATTCGAAAGTCTCGTAAAGTCATAAATTCCAAAAAGGGCGGGTTATTATATACTTGACAAGCAACGCAGCGAAAGGGAATCGTTTTCACAAGATCTCGAATTAGAAAGCAGAGATAATTGCGCGCATTAAAGTCCCCCAATTCTTCAACATTGAAGAAGCGTCCCTTATTATGAAACGAGCTCGTTCCACCACTCCGACGGAAATGCGAGAAGAAAGACGCGACTTCTTTTCCCCTATCTCGGGTGAAAACTTTCGAAACGCCGAGTTCGACTGAAAGGAAGAGGTGCAAGCGTGCAAGATTCGCGTTTCTTTATCGATAATAAAATTGTTCGTGTAAAGGAAATTACGCAACGATTCATACTCGTGGTAGGTCTCGGTATTTACGATTATTACGATCATTGCGCAGTCTCGCTTAATTATGCCCGAATAATTATAAATCGTGCGCACGTTTCGTGTTTTATGCTTTAATTGAGGAACGAAGAATTCCGTTGTCTCAATTCAGAAGATCTCTGCTCGGTTACATTAAAGTGTAGTGCACTTAAAACTAAATCGAACTCTAAACTGAATCGGACATACTCGTCGTATCGGGAAAAACCATGAGGCAGCATTGGAGAAAAAGTGCAAGAAAACTCATCAATTTTACCTTGAATCTTTTAAATCATAGTCGATAAAATTTTTAAACGCGACGAAATAAATTTTCGATTGAAGTCATGAATAGATAAGTATACTATCGATTATAGTCCCGAGCTTTTATTGAAACCGCGCATTAATTATACACGGAGAGAATTTTCTCTTAAAGTTCACCCTGAAAATTATGTAATCGTGAGACGACATGGCAATGTGAAGAAATTTATGAGGGTTCTTTTGAAATTTTATTATACAGCTTACAAGTAAAATGTATGATAAAATTTCAAAAAACCTTCATAACGTTCTTCAAAATGCCATGTCCACAATTACACGATTTTCAGGGTAAATTTTAAGAGAAAATTCTCGCCGTGTAAAATCATTAGAAATCACATTCAATCTTAAACTATAATAATATGTTGGCACAGAAATAGAATTCCTTATGTATGTCAACGCGAGTTATTTTTACATGATATAACGATGCTATAACGAAAGAAGTTGGGGAACCATCTGGTAGCGTACACGAGTCCGTCTACCACTGACCGATTCAATTCCTCAACACCGTCAAAGTGACGTCCCCGTCGGCGTCGCTGACGATTTATTGTCCCGCTGTGTAGGTACACGCCCGCGATCGATGGACCGATCGCGATACCCTTGGCTCCCTTTCTCTCCTCCCGCGTTATCGATCGAATCGGCCGATAGACCGGCAGATCGATCGATCCGTCGGCGTGGTGTCGCAGAATCGACGCGCCCGCGTGCGGTGTGTGCAGCGGCTTTCGCTTCATATTGATCGCGGGCCAGCCCGGCGGTATCGCGGTCGCAAATCTCGCGCCGATACAACACGCGAACACGCGTGTCCTTGGGCGTTCACGAGGTGGCCACCCACCGCACCGCGCGACGTCACTGACGTAATCATTTATCAATGAGCGCGCCGCGCGCCGATATTCGCCGCCGGAAGTGATCATTAGCCGGGGGTATCGATGATCGCCGATCGGCGAGATCGGCAGTTTATCGGCGCTCTTGTGCGCGCGCGCACGCGCTTATCGAGTCATCGAAGCCGCGATTTACGACGCTGAGGGTGTTCCGTTTGTTTCTTGACCTGCCAGCGGTGGCACGGGAGGTGTTCCATCTCATTGCTACTTTTTTTTCTGTGTCTCGATGAGGAATTGTCTAAACGTGCTCAGCAATTAGTTATGTTTATCGCGGGGAAGCGAGAAGTGCTACCTCTCCTAGATTTTCTAGAGATAGCTGCGCTTCTCCTTGGAAACTGAGAAATACATACAATATTATAATTAATATATGTTTCCCCGGTGTCTTTAGTGCTTCTTATTTTTACATCTTTTTTCCATAGAACTGAGTTGAAATTTTTATACTATTTTGACACTTTTAAGGATAATTTACACCTACTTAGCTGATCTATACACTTACATAGACCAGCAATAACCTACTTTGATGACATTATATTTTTTACTCCTCCCTTGAATCTTTAATTCTAAAAATTTATTTTAGCTCCTACTCTTAGAAGGACCTTCTTTAACTACCTACTTTAATGCTAAATTGGCAAAAGTAGAAATTTCCGACACTGTCAGCTTTAAAGTAGAAGTAAATTTCGTACTTGCAGTTCAACCTCTTTTACTGTCCTAAGTCCTGATATATGTATAATAGAATTAAAGGTTCAACATAGGGCCAAAATTTCGACTCGGGCATAGATTATCAAATAATTTTTTTATAATATGTCTTGAGAAAAGATTCGGCTTTGAACAATTGACAATTTTTCAGGTTTCGACGATCCTACTTGATTTCTGATAAGCGTATACGATCCACTTTGACACCTGTACTTCGAGTAAACTCGTTTACTTATCAGCATCTTTATCAACAACTTCCTCGCTCAGTTTCATTTTGTATCGCTTCTTCATAGTTCGAAGATCGGGATTTTCTCTCGCAACGGACATTAAACCGGCCGCGCTATCGATCACTCTCCCTTATCGTCGAGTCGGATCACCTTAAATATACAGGATGTCTATGGGAGATCCAATCTAACTCCAAGAACGTGTTTTACTGGTTCCCAAGATCGACCCAGATCCAAGCGTCATGTACATGTCCGTATTTACAATCAGTTACGACTGTTTGAAATTCAACATTTACATGTCAGACAAATTGTTCGGACAGTTGGGAAACCGCGTGTGTCCGTTTATACGCGCTTCAATCCCTTCTAGGAATTCTGATGAGCGAGACCGTTTACGTCCAAAAGAAAAGCATTATCGAGGATGTTCGAATCGCGCCGTAGAATATTAATCACCGTACGAACTTTTCATCGGCCAAAGATATCGTTATTGCGCCAAATCTGTGTCGAGTTCTCCCAGTTAACGTGCTCTTGAAAATTTCTGAGTAAACACTCAAGCCTTGCGCCCACGATCTGAGAACTTGGACACGGTTCGTGTCCAAGTTCTAGTTCCAGGAAATGTATAGTCAATCGCGTTGCAGCTTTTCCGTAAAAGATGCAAGTTGATCGGCTGTATAGCTGTATATACATTTCTCGAAACTTGGGCACTGTTCTCGGAAAGTGGACACAAGGCTTCAGGGGCGTCGCGTGTATCATCCGCGAGCCTACATTCAGCGACATGCTTTTGACACTCGCGGCGGTGAAAAATTATTTACCGGTCCGCCCGCGTTTGCAACGTGTAATACAACACGGGCCATGTAGTGTGAAATTCTTGGTCACGGACCGCTGGAAAGCGGACACGTGGCCAGAACGCCGCCGTTTTACCGCCGAGAGTGCCGGTGACACTTTTCCAACGGACGATTTATACGGGGCCGCTCGATAAATTAACAAGCGCATGTACACGCGGCGCGGCCGCCCGCGACTGTCGCGGGCGGAATTTTCTCGATGATGTAAGGCGACGCGGATTTTTTTTTACTCGTCGCGCTATCTCGAGGTGTTGAATAATCCATTGCGCAGAACATTACGTCGCGCCGAACGCAAATACATTCCCGGCGAGAAGATATAATATCCGCACGATAGTTGTGACATACGTTGCACACGGTTGCATAGCTGCGAGTTTTACGGAGAAAACCGTCGTGTCATGTAAATAAAGAGATTAAAAAAAGCGGGCGGGGTTTATTTAGCGAAACACCAATGTCGTGTCGATCAAAGTCCTTATCGTTTAACTTTGCCGCGGAACGCTAAGAATATTATACAGGGTGTCTGTTTGATCTGAACGAGGACGTCAACAAAATGTGCTCTATCTCGGAAACAGTGGGAAATGGGGCATATATTCATATGAACATTTTTGCTTAAAACGACCGATACTATCACCTCCCAGAATATTGACTTTTC